GGCCGCTGCGCGCTCCCGGCGGGGCCTGGCTCCCTGCCTGCCCTCCCTCCTTCCCTGCCTTCCTCCCTGCTTCCCTCCCTCTCTTCCTCCCTCCCAGCCTGCCTTCCTCCCTCCCACCCTGCCTGCCGGCCTTCCTAAGGACTCACCCACACACGGGAAACCTGCTGGGAAAATTAGGAATATATGGCAGGGTCCCGCTTCCATCTCCTTTTCACTCGTGCCTGCTGATGTATAAACGAGGCCGACTGCGGTGGGTTTTGTTTTAATGGATTAAGAGGAACAGAGGTCGCGGGACAGCAGGGGAAATGAAGTCAAAAGAAGATGGATGGTCTTCTACACAGCCATCGATTTACAGTGATACCCTACCCACGTATGTCCGCATGTGCTGCGTGTAACTCCCAGCCCAGTCAAACGCTGGAGTGCAAACGCACCTGATCTCTGTCTGTATAAAACCCTCCAGAGAGTAAGGCTTTGGTGATGAACTGAAGTATCGCGTCTGATGGCAGACATGCAGCTTCATTAGCGCAGCCCGAGGAGACCAGTCAACCAAGAAAAGTTACCAGCTTTACCTCCTTGCACCAAAAGAGAAAATACTGCTCTGCAAATGGAAAGTGGCCAGACGTTTCCATGTAACACCCTGAGGTTTTACAGGAACAAGTGATACAGAAAATCAGAATAGCCATAACCAACTGGGCTGCTGATTAAATCTCTCACTGTACTCGTGACTGAATCTAATGCAGTTGCTCCTGCAACTGAAAACACGGCAGGCAAATACCGTGCTCACAGATGTTAAGTAACAGAACAAGCTGTTGGGGTAAGCTGCACAGCAGTGTCATAGCAGGATCGGTTTTATAGCCCAGAGGACAAACCACTGTGGGACTGATGCAGAAGACAAAGATGCATGTAAAATTGATGTGCTTTTGTAAAGGGAAATTTAAAACACCTTTGAATGTGCTTGGGGTTTTTCAATCTATCTCGTGTGAGTAAATGGAAGTAACCCCATCTAAGTGAACAGAGTGTTGTGAGGGCATATAAGCAGTACACTAAAATAATTTTAGAGTGCCTAACTGATTTCTGACAGCAATAGATACAGCAAAACTTTATGAGATGTTCTGTTTGGAATGGATTTATTAATGATGCTTTTTTTCCCCCACTGGCTCTATATTCAGAACTTTGCTGTATAATATAGCATTGCTAGATCCCAGCCGATACATGTTTTAAAAGTTTAATGGGAAAATAGTGTTCATGCTTCACAGGAAAGCATGTTAATACCAAACAGCTGAGTGTACCAAAAGAAAGATGAAAAATACAAAAGAAAATCCTAGCAACCGTTTGCTTTGAGCAAGGGTATTAAGGATGAGCCATAGGAAACAAAAGCTATGCCTTGAAGAATGACCAAAACAAAATTATGTGCATTTATACAATCTTTTTGGTCCTAACTGAATGTCAGATGCATTGCATCTGACCTGCATTTATGACTGTAATTTAAGGGAGCGGCTTTTTAAAAACTAATTATGATGCTACCTGAGTGGGTGATGAGCATGTATTAGAGTTTCACAAGTTTGCATCACAGTACTGTTTTCTATCTTGTTTGTTTGTTTGAGCTCAACAGGATAAAATGGAAGTTAAAACGATGTCCAAAACAAAGGCAATATGCTTTTGGGGGGAATATAAAACAAACCAGCAAGAGAGGCTCAGGACTTATCAGGCAACATGGGCAGAATGCATAAAGCCAGTTAAGAAATTGCTGCAGTGCTTTTAGGTAGCAGTGCAATAAGTCTACTAGTAAAGGTCTGATCCTGAAAATCCTTCTGCACACATTTCTCTTTATGTGAGTTGTCCCGCTAAAGGTATTTAGACTAGTAAAATAAGAACTAGCTGTATAAAGGATTGGAACAAAATTAGGAATACAAGAGAAGCTCCCATAACAAAAGAAAGCTTACATGACAGTTACAGAGGAAGGAGCATTGACAACAGATACTAGCCAGGTCTGGCAGTGGAAAGGACATAGATTGAGTGAGATGGCTTTTTGATCTGTACGTGGGCAACTGGAAGAACATGCAGGGATTCTACAATGCCTGCTGTTTCTTTGGTAGCTTCCCAGATGCACGATGCATTATTAACAAACGTTCTAGAAAAGTTCTTAATGCCTGGCAACAGTGAACTTAATTACAATCTGAAAGTTGACACCTTTTCCTTGTGTCTTTGTACTAACACCGACAGAATTTCAACAACAATCCTGGTTCCTGGTGACCTGCCCACCCTTTCTTTCCCTGGCTCATGGGCAGGCAGGCTGGATAGAAGCAAGTAATTGTTTAAAGTGCTGTCTGACCAGGCATAAAACAAGTGGGGAGCACATTTGAATTGCGTGACAGGGCTCAAGGTGAGCAAGGACATTGCAGCTTTTTTTTGCTGTAAAACTGCAGAGCCGAGTGAGACTTCCTATTCTGAGACAAATAAAAAAAAAGGGGGGGGGGAGAAAAAAGAAAAGGAACTCCGCCCCAAACCTAAATCTGAGTAACCCAAAAGCAGTATTTAGAGTGGTATAGGCAAATACGATTGTGCCAATCAAAGTAGTCATTTGCATTACAATGTTCTAACACAGTTGAAATACTACTTTTCTTGAAAGAGCTCACTAAGATTGTACCCACAGACAGGAAACTTGTACATATGAAGATGGCCGGGCCAGCCATTGGTACTATAAATGCCTGTTGGTGATAAGCCCAGTGATGCAAATTTCTGTTCCACCCACAGCCATGCATCATCTGCTTTTTTCTGCTAAACGCATTCAGTGCCTCTTCTTTCTATGCCAGCTGTGTTCATGTATTTGCTATGCATGCCTTTGTGCCCACGAAAGCTTTCTGTTCTATCATTCTAACATTGCCCTGACTAAAAAGTAGCCATCACTTGCATGAACTTGTACATTTGTTTCTCTCAATGACACCACGATATCCATGGACCTATGGTATCTTTGCCATGCTGCAAGAAATGCATTGAAAGCAACACTATTCTACAAACTTGCATGGGAGCATACAACACTCTGCTGTCAACTGCACAAACGCAGTTATTGTTAACAGTCTCATCTATTTTGCTGCAAGCATTGCCTAACATTGCTCTCTAGGCAGCAGCTGGGGTCTACAGTAATGAAATGCTTTTAAAGGAAAATTTTCTGCATGCAAAAAGTACAAAGAGAACAAGCATCCATGAAATCTAGATGCCCATTTTCCTCATTTTTGACCGCAACAGTGGCAAGTTAACCTGAACATATGAACACTTCTTCAGAGTGCATTCCTGAACCAGGAGACTGCTTTTCATCCTGGCAGTGTTGCGGTTGCTACAGGTGTAGAGAGGATACTTTCTGTCTGGAAGCTCTTGCATGACACACAACGCGCCTGTAAAAAGCTTACGGCACACTTAACCTACAATTATGGTTTATTCCACAGGGCCTTAATTGTGCTTGTCAGGAAAGGCAGCAGCACAAGACACTTAAATCATATCCTCAGGGTCCAACATAGCAAACAATTCCTGACTTTCAGTCCCCTTTTACTGCACTCATCCCTCAAACATGCCTACCTCTTGTTAAGATACAAAGGCCCCCACAGTCCTTACTGGAGGCAGGCGAAATGACTGCATCCAGCTAGAGCTAACGGGCACCATAGGCACCTCTGTAAGGCTTTCTCCTTGCTAGCTCTACTTTACTACATGGCAACAGGGTCTCGTCTTCATGATACCTCAACTGATTCATCACCTTTCTCAAGCTGTTGCGTTGTATATACTCCTGTGGTTTGGGCAATGCTGCATATGCTCTTCTTTCTGCTATAGAAAAAAGGCATCAAAGACCGAACGCCCAGTCTCAGCAGCAGAGTAAGAACGAAGGAGACACAGTTTCAGTAAAAACATAGCATGGAAAAACAGGAAATAGGAAGAGTATGGTGGGCAAACATTAACTTTCATCTCTGATCCACAAACTTTTAATTCTCCCTTCAAATCTTCTCAAAGTAAAAGGGAGGAAAGCTTTTTCTAAGTAAATGCCTTGAACTGAAGACCAACATACATGATTTAATTATTTTGAATCATCTGTTAGCTTAGGGAAATATCCTTTTCAAAGTTGCAAGTTATATGGAGCATTCAAATTCTTGTTGGGCTTGTTTATATATATTTTTTACTTACAGCTGTTATCTTTACAGAGTTAACATCTTATATCGGCCAGTGGAATTTATCCTCAGCACTTTGTAGCATGATTTAGCATTAGTCTTGTAAGTTTTGCCTTACCCCCTTGTGTTAATTTATATTGCTCTAGCAGCACTTCTACAGAATGAACTTCATAGTTAGAACTCGAAAGTTTTAAAATTAACATGGGGATTTCCCTCCAAGTTGAAAACAAACTTGTTTTCAACCTAGAAAGATGCAACCTCAGAATGCCTTGGTGGCATTCTACCATACTGGAGGCTTGGTATTTCAGTCCTTCATTCAAGGTTTCACCAAATGACAAGCCTTCCCAATCATTAACTTTCTGGAATGCATTATTCTTAAATGTGATATGAATTTCTGGAAAAAGCATTTGCGCTTTCCACTTCCTTCAGGGCAAGTTTCTGTTTACAAGCTTAACAGCCTCCTTCCCCCCCCCCCCCAAATTAAGAAGCAGCAATAGAAGAATAACATGGTCTTTGTTTTTACCAGTTCAGTGCATCTGAAGTGAAAGCAAGGAAAAATATCCCTCAGTCTGTTCCTTTCCCTTCTCTCCAAAAAAGGGAAAAGAGGATGGAACGTGCGGCAAAAGAGACACCCCATCTAAATTTCTCTGGCTCTCATGAGACTCTCTGTCCAGTAACAGAGGAAAGCAAGTTGCTTCTTAAGGGTTCAGTAACAGTTTTGATAGGCAGTCAAACATGCACCTACTCTTGTGTGTGCTTGGTACCTACTGGACAAATATAATGGAATAACCAGATGATTTAGCCTTGTAGTTTAAATCTGATTATAAAGAAGAATGAAGAGTAATTTATTTTGGCTTGCTACTTTTACTGAAGAGCAATGATTTTGCTCTTCAGTAAGATTAGTAAACTACAGTTGTGCTGTGGCCTTCTTCCATGACAACTTTTAATTAGCCAACATCCCAAGATTGACATCAGCCCCTCTTAACTTCAAAACACATTTTAGATAGCATATACTTCCCTCAATCCATCTTTGATTTTGGGTGTCAGATGATTTAAAAAGAATGGCTTTCTACAGAATGAACTTTTTGATTCTGAATATACTTTGAAAGTAACCGTTTTAGGGTTACTTCTCCCTTACTATTACCTTAGAGCTGTCCACTCAAGCAGTCCTGCCACAGAGCTGTAACACAATACAGTAATTTATATACAGCCGCATGTTTAGTGATGGTACACAAAGACAGCTATCAAAACTATTATTTCTATTGTTTTCAGCCAGAAAGAAAGAGTATCTCTTTGCTCATCAGGGTTCACCAGCACTCAGAGGCAAACACTAGTTACACACTGGCATCATCTCCTAGAACAGGAGCGGATTTTGCCAAATTAATACCACTTTCACTATAGTTTGATAATACTGGGTCTGTGGGGACAACATTCACTGAAGTTCTTTACATTCTTCATCATCTACTGCGAAACTAAGTTGCACAGCCCTCCTCACCCCCACCTAACAAATTAAGAGGATCATGCTGAACTAGTTCTGGATTAGAAAACACCCAGGCGCTGCAAATGAATTTATGCTTTGCTCTTTCCACCAAAAGAGTCACCAAGAACTTCAAAGGTATAAGCTTTGTTGATTCTCCATTTATTTTGAGAAATACAAAATATGAAAACTAGTTTACAGTTCTGGCACAAAAATGATGAAGCAATAAGCACAGTTTCTTTTTACAAATAACGCTATACATTTTTACTATTTAAAAGTGCCTGTAGTTTTTCACAGCAGATAACCTTATTTACCTATATCCTTTTTCTTAGTAAAATATTAAATCTATTTAAATTGCACATGAACACCTTGAAGTAAACTATATGTAAAGTTATAATAAATCTGTATTTAAAGCAAATAGTCATTAGAAACTACATTGAATGGAAAAGATTCAAAAGATCAAAGCCTAAATTGAATCTTAAAGATTGACCGGGGGGGCAGGGAGAAGGAGGAAAAAGGAAAAAGAGACAAGACACTGACAGATATGGCACAGGTATGGATTAAACTACTGACAATTTGACAAAAAGTAATAAAGCCTATTTGAAGTTCTTCACAGATCTAATATGCTGCTAAAAACCTTTAGATGCAGAGGTTTTTACTGCATTTAGACTGGTAAAATTTTTAGGCTGTTAATCATTTTTCCATAAGACTACAAGACATCTCCTTCACTTAATTTTGGACCTTAAAAATCAGGATGTTGGTAAATCAAGAATGGGCATAAAAGAAAATGCCAAAATTGTACTAGGTTGCTGTAGTTACAAATTACTCTGTTTTGACAACAAAACAGGTGCAAAGTTTATCAGTTAAAGTGAACTGCAGTAATTTGCAACAACAAAAATGAGAACATTTAAAGATTTTTTTTTACTCTTAAGAAAACTCCAAATCCCACAAAACTAAAAAACCCCACTGGCCTGGTTCAAACTTCCAGAATCGCTGAGAAGTTTAATCCACAGCTTTACAGTCAATGCAACTACTTACACTGTGCAAAACTAGGTGTGAACTTTTAAACAAGTCTCTACCAGACCAGGGTCACAACCTTAATCCAGTATTACTCTTCCTGCTTTAAAAATACTTGTACTGGATTACATCAGTCATTATTTGCAGAAGTGTTCAGTCACAACTTTCAGAAGAAGTGACTAGTGATTTAAGATGTCCCACCCGAAATATCTTGAAGAGGCCCAGTTTTCACAGTGTGTGCTCTCTGACCTTCTGGATTATTATTACCCTTTCTTAAAGGCAAACCCTTTAAGAACCCAAGTTGAAGATCCAAAAATTCAAGTATCTACCAAAGTCTTATTGGTTTTAAGTCCCGACCTTCATGCTTGTGTTGATGTAAAGTCATTTACATTAGCATTTATTTCAAACTACAAAACAACTAATTCATCCATTTTGGTATCCTTTTGCAGATGTTCAAAGTAGTATTTGATTTACATCAACATTTGATAAAAGATAAAAACTAACATAGATTATAGGGTCCCAAAAGCATTGTGATGTCACTTTAAAAAAAACAACATAGCAACGTTGACAATGGATGTACGATAAATGCTCCATTATATGCCATTCACATTAAGCAGCACAGAAAATGTGTACGTGGCCTAGACTTCTTTGCACTAACACTCAGGTGTTTAAAAATACAGGAATACATGCTATTCTCAAAATTAATATTATAGGCATGCACAACTTCACATATCTAAAAAAAATCAGGAGACAGGTCCTAAAGCGTAGACTTTGTGAAGAATTCTATAATGCCTCAACATTTGCAAACTAATGCAAGTCCAGCCATGTAAAATGAGACTGCCAATATGACAGTCCCCCAACTACTGTTTGTAAACCAGATAGCGAAGCAAGTTTAGTCCATCTGAACAAAAACAAGTCATCAAATGAATCGAGAAAGGGAAAACAAACAGCCTCAGTATGTGGCATTTTAAAGTTATTCCAGTTAACCATTTATGGTCTTTCATCTTAGTTTAACTGAATATGCTTCCTTAAATGGGTGTAGAGAGTATCTTCATAAAAATAATCAGTTTTGCCTATTTGGTTGTAAATTCTACTTTTGAGGGAGGAAAGTGACAAGTTTTACCAGCAATTATAGATTCAGAGTACAGACTGAAAATATGACATTTAAGAATACAGCAGTGTTAAATACAAAGTTTGCAGCTTTTGGGGAAAAAAAAAAAAGAAAGGCTCACAAGGCACTTGCTATAGTGGTCTGTTAAATGAACAGTATATACAGTGCACCTTTATAACATCATTGTTATGCATCAACCTTTTTCAGTGTTAGAAACTCAGATTTATTAGAAATAACCATTGGGTTCTGTGTATTCTGACAGTTATGCAGCAGCCTTGATTCATATAATGTAAATGAAACAAATTAAGAGAAAAGAATAATTTAAACCAATTCTTGCCACATGAAAGCTTTTTGTGAAGTGATAAAATGAAGTATGGAATGCCATTCTGACACCCTGTCCCCTCCCCACCTACCC